ACAGAGCCCCGAGGGCAGTGACCTTTTCCATATCTCCAGTGTCTACGGTGCCTGACACAACTATTTGTTGAGTAGATGGATGAAGTGAATGCATGAAAAACATAAGGCTAAGTACAGTATTCAGGGAAGGAAGTAGCATTATTATGCAAATTTTAGGGCCAAAATAGAATTATTTCCTGCTAAATTATTCACCGAATGAAATGATCACTTGGTGGCTGAGGTGCTGTGGGAGTTATAAAAAATAAGATTAAGAGAAACTGTGCCTTGAAACAAATTCCAAGAAGAGAAAGAGGATAACACAAATATTGAACATATTCTGGACACTACAGTGCAGTCTGATGGGAAGTGCCAAGGGCACCTTCATTTGTATGGTCTCAAGGCCTTGAGGCTTGTGCTGGGAAAAATGTTTCTTAAAAAGGCACAAAGATCCCCAAGCTCTGCTACTTAGGAAAGCTTCTGAATCAAGTCCCACAGACCTTTTACCCGAAGAATTTTCCATGTTGAAGTGTCTGTGAAGGTCACAAGCATCGTGAGGTACAGTGTGATGAGCTTGGAGTCCTGTAAGATTTCAGGCTGAAAACAATGAGGATAATAAGATTAAGACATACACCCTCCAGTCTCAGTGAAGCAACCATTTTATAACTTTCCTGAGTGCACTCAGGCTCAAATAAGTGAGTCAGGGTTATAATTAAGGCTCTATTTTTTTTTCTTTTGGGGAATGACCACTTTAGGAGTCATATGACCAGGATTTTGGCACAATCGTAATTGACCATGGAATCTGAAATATGCCTGGGAATGGAGAATTGAGTATTCCTGGAAACAAGATGACCAACACTGCCTTGTTGGTGTTTTGTATGCCTTTATGAATATATGTATATATGTATGTACACTGGAGCATAACAAGGACTCTGGGCTCTGACTTCTGGCTTTAACATTTACTAGCTGTGAGATGTTGAGCACACATCTTAAACTCTCTGGGCCTCAGTTTCCTCATCTGTTTACTAAGGATAGTAATACTGCTTTCTTCATAGGGTTGTTATGAGGGCTCAATGGTTCATGTACATAAAGTACTAAGAACAGTACCTGGCACAAAGATAACTATGTAATATTGGCTATTATTACAACCACGGTTATAATTCACTGTTTCAAGAGGGCAGGTTGGGGTAAAGGCCTGACTCATTTCTAGGTTGACCTTATAGCATGTATACCTGGAAGGGACCCTGGAGACCGTTTAGTTCAAATCTCTAAGCTCACAGAGAATGAGAGAGGGGAAGTGGCTTGTCCAAGGTCATATGGGAAATCAGAAGCAGAATCAGGACTAAATTCACATCTTCCTGGCTCTGGATTCAGTGTTCTTATCTCCTAAAGTGTACTTCTGCACAAAAACTTAAAAAAAAAGTTTTTTTTTCAAAATAGAAGAGCCTCTTCTTGAAATCTGTTGTGGATTTTACTCATGCAGATCTGATGCCAACACAGAAAGTAGATAATAGAGGCTATGCCTGGCTGAAGTGAAGTTGAGAATGTGCCTGCTTGGCCATAAGATATTTTAGTGAACCCCAAGGCTCCAAGGACCAGGGTAGAAAGACCACTGTTCTGTGCCATGATGCCTCACCTGACAAGCTGGGCATGGCTTGGTGCCAGGTCAAAGCCAAGAGGGCCATTCACCAGTGCCTCCAGAGAGACGGCAGGGAATGGATCACTGGGAGCTCTGCTGACATTCACTTCATTGCTCAGCTGCTACCTGAGTCCTTACCTTACCAAGCCTCTGCCCCTGAAACTTCTCCCTCCCTATATACAAAGTGGAAGTGACTGCTGTTTGCATCTACTCACACCTCTGCCCACCTTCTCATAACTCAAAGGTGGACAGGGGACCAGCCTGGGCCAGTGGCATAGCCCATCCCTCTCACCACCATGACCAGTTAAGAGTGGATACCAGGATCCCATTGGGTCTTTGGGAGTGCTCTCAGATTTGTGAACTGATGAGGAAGCCCTCCTTTTTCTCTTAGGTCAAGACAAGGGTAAAGATGTGAGGCAAGAACTGCTGGCTGCCATAATTACAGCAGAAGATGAAGTGACTTGAAAAGGCACTAGAGATGAGAGAAAAGAATGAGGAGGAGAATCTGGAAGCCCTTGGCTCTAATCACCCTCGGCTGCCATGTTTTACAGAATACAGTCTGTAAGAAAATATTCTTTCTTGCTTACCTTGTATTACTAGCTATGCTCATATTTGGTTTCCATTTTTATAAAAAGAGGCATGACTAGTACAATAACATAAACTATGAAGTATCCATTACATCAAAAGTATGAGAAGGAAGACAAAAGGTTCCATCACTGAGATTATGGCAAGCACAGGTCGATGTTGAAAATACTGTAAATCAAAGAAGGGTTAATACTGATAACGATACCTAGCTCTATCTCCCATAGAACAGGGCTCTAATGACTCTTTATTAGACTCTAATAGATAGATATCCAAACATATAACCTATGAAGGGATCATGAGGACGCTGAAAATATGTACCACAGGCGCCCAAATGGAAAGGGTGTATTTAGTTTTGTTGTTTTTTACCTTGAGCTGCCCAAGAAGCTCACAGCAATAACGCAGAATGTCCTTGATCTGTTTAATCCATAAGAGGGTGAGATCCTTGGAAAGAGCCAGAGACACATACCACACCTAAAAGCAGGAGAAAGAGAAAAAATGTAACGGGCAGTTACAGGGATCAAATTATATATGTTCTAGCTATTGGAAGATCAATTAGCTATATCCAGTGTCAGATAAGGTAGTGAAGATGAACGGACACATAAGCAGCCAACAGGACTTATTTTAACACTCAACCCAAAGAAAAAAATAGCCTAGTAGAAACATTTACCATCTTGAATAAGAGACAAGAACAGAACATAGCTTCTTGGATAATAAAGAGGCTAAGGAAATCGTTTGTTCTTTATTAATGTTTTTTATCTATTACTTATTTGTGCATGTGTGTGAATTAACAAGGTCACAACATTCAACAGGAACTTTCAGAGCCGAATAGGTAGGCTTGGAGCTCCCATTCCACTTACCTTGGGGTCATTCTCAGCATCCATGCTGCTCAGAATAGAGCAACACAACTTCTCAAATCTCTGCAAAGAGGTAGAATGGGGGTTATAAATTCTCACGACTAAAGAAAAAAGGAAAGAAACGAATGTTCGGTGGGCATTTGGCTTGTATAGCTATTATGCTGGAAGACTAACATACATAATCATTTTAAATACCTTCTTATAGATGTGGAAACTAAAGATCAGAAAGGATCTCAAATTGGTGGCCCACAGGAGCCTTTCAGATGTGTTAGAAACTAGTAATCCAGACTGGGGCTTCTTTTGAAAAAAATTAAAAAACTAAAAACTCAATCCGGTAAACGGCTTGGATTCCTGTGGACTATCAGCTGTCTCCTATATCATGCTCTCCTGTTCGCCAATTTGTAAGCATCATGGATACTGACTTTTGCCTCATAGACTGTCGAATCATCACTTCTATCTTGAAAAACAAAAGGAAGAAAAGCAGAAGCTGGAAACCAGGTTACACTCTGGCAATATCAACCTTGGATCCACCCTTAAAAGCAGTGTGGCCCTGGGGGCCTGCCCCACAATTGAGCTGCAGTTTCTTCTTCTGTAAACAAGGGTCAGTCACCTCACCAATCCTGCCCATCATCTACATGACCCTGTGTTCACTGCCAGTGTACTCCTCCCTCTCCTGCTGGGCTCTGAGCTCTCCCAGGCAGAGATCTTGGTCTTCTTGTTTCCTTCTGGGGTGCCAGTGCCTAGCAGAGGGTCTGACACAGTGTAAAGCTGAGCAATAACAAACACTTAACCCCTGAACACTCAGAGGCATTCCTCAATGGTACTGTTAGTACTATTACAGATAATTAGCTGTTTCTTGATATTGTTTTCTAGGCTAATCATTCTAACCTCAAAGGTACAACAAGCATGTTTTGTTTGATTTGCAGGATTTACAAGAAATTTCAAATTAATGGCCAATTTTTACAAATTAGAAAACTGAGCATTAAGATCTTCAGCATCTCTTTAAAAAAATTAGAGTATCAGTCCTCCAATGGCTGAGGCTGAGTAGAGGTTACCCCATTTGGATGGGCATGCCACAGACCTATCACTCCCTCTGATGTCCTTACCACCGCTGTCAGTTATCGTTCATTATGACTTGTACTATGTTCTGTCTCATAAATGGTTTATTTCACTCATTTACCTAACCTGCCTGGCTCCTGTATGCATCTGAGTCGAAGTATTTGTAATAGTTGATGTGAAAAGAATTGTGATGGCCAGAAACACTGGGCATAATCCCTACAAAACAGGTCCCAAGAAGACAAAAGGGCAAGGGGTAAGAGTAACAGAACCTATCTCAGAGCGTTGCTGTAAGAACAAAATGAGTTAATATTTATAAAATACTTACAAAAAGACCTGGCAGACAGTAAGTATGATGTATGTTTGTTATTATTTTACCTCATTATCCTCTTTAATTCTGAACAAGAACAGCAGTTTCCTGGCAATCTTAAAAACACAAAGTGCGCTTCTTTTACTGGATCCAGAGCCATCTGCTTTAAAAAACTCATCAATTTCTCTCCTAGGGAGGGAAGAGTAAAAAAGACATTTTTAATTAGGAGCTCATAGCAGCCATAAATTTTAAGAACTGTAAGAGAAAACATCATTTTTTCTGGCTATTAATTGGGAGCAAGAAAAAATGTGCTGAGGAGTTGCTAACACCCACCTGATTTCTCTCTGCAGTCGACTCCGACAGAGAAAACTCCTGACATGGGCCTGAATTCCAATGGCTGCCCGCTCACGTTCCTTCTGCACCAGCCTTTCCTCTCGAGCCTGACGGGCTCTATCAATGAACCAGGCTCTCGAGGTCTGAGAAACGGTGAACATGTTTGCAAACTTACACAAGCCCTGCAAGGAAAATAGCAAGTAGTTGGTATAGCTCATTACATGAAAAACACGTACAGAAAGGGGCTCAAGAGCACAGGGTGGGCAGAGACGTGGGTGGCAGCAGAGTTTCTCAGGGCCCTCTAGCACCTTCCAAAGTGCCAATAGCTCTCCTGGCACAAGTCCCAACTTCCTATCAACTCTTTTCATGCAACTCACAAAGACCAGCGATGCTTTTTACATTTTCTTAAAAGAAAGAGCACAGTGCCTGGCTCTAGGGTATGGGTTCTATAATTGTTTAATGAATGAACAAAGCATGATTTGATCCCAGCCATAAAGCTCTAATACAAACTAGGCATTCTAAAACAAAGGATGCCTAAATATTTGAATTTTCTGGAGCAGTTCATAATATTTGGGTGATTTATTATCATCATCATTTTATTCATTCACTCAAATATTTACTGGTACCTACCTGTACCCAGCACACAAAAAGCCCTTTTTTTAAAGGGTCATTTTAACACTAAAAAAGCCAAAGGTACGATTCTAGAATGTAAGACAATCTATTAAACTGAATATGTTTTGATTGATGCATAATTTGTTCATCTGCCCTTATGTTTCCATCCTGTCAAGGACGGATGAAGACTTTAGAGCAGAGCTGCTCCCATCCACTGACTGCTACCTTTTGGATAGAGGCTCTAAATTATCCATTACATTTTTATCTCAATCACCAGTATCTGTCTTTTCCCAAAGGGATGGCTTTGGCTAGCAGCCCAGAGCACACAGTATTGGTCCATGGAACCTCTCATTCTGAGATGATTTCTTTAGATGCTCAATAACTTTGTTATTCTATCCAAAACATATAATCACTCCAGCTGACAAAAGCATTGAAACAAATTATTCATAAATCCAGACTTCTGGAAATCAATCTCTTTACTAGGTTACCTCACTCTAAGCAGTATCCAGATGAAAACGTTATTAAGAATAAAAGGCTCATGCCAGGCTCCTCCCATGTTGATATATTGCCCTCATATTGCCCACTGTGGCCCCTCTTCAACACTGCTTCACATCTGTTAAACAACAAAGCTTTTCTAAAACATGAGTCTCTCAGTAATTCTCCAAACAAATTAACAAAGTCTGCCTAATGATAGGAGGAGGGTAAGAAGACTGGAAGGAAAAAGGTAGTAGTCTGCTGAATCACTCACTCTTTCTGCCCCCAGCAGTGGAAGTCCGGAGCTCACCTGAGGACCTGCTCGTGCCGTAGAAATGCCAGGTATTCATTAGTGATCTTGCACAGGACTCATGGCAGAGGGCAGCTTCTCACTTCAGAGGAGCTTCTTTTCTGGCAAAAGCAAAAGAATACACAGTTAGGGTTAAGTTTCATAGCTAGGATATAATATGCCTTCCTGAGTAAAAGTAATAAATACAGTGCCTCTGGTTTTAAAAAAAAAATAACATTGTGTTCTCTTTAGTTAATGTCTGGTTTAAATGTTAGACTTTAGCTTCCCAATACACATGATTTAAAGGGAATAGTTTGAAAATACAGTTGACCCCTGAACAACATGGGTTTGAACTGCATGGATCCACTTATATAGTCTTTTCTTCAATAAATACTGTAAATGTATTTTCTCTTCATGATTTCTTAATATTTTCTTTCCTCTAGCTTACTTTATATGAGAATACAGTATGTAATATATATAACATACAAAATATGTGTTAATCAATTGTTTATGTTATCAATAAGGCTTCTAGTCAACAGTAGGCTATTAGTGGTTAAGTTTTTGGGGAATCAAAAGTTATACATGGCTTTTTAACTGTGCAGGGGGTTGGTGCCTCTAACTCCCACACTGTTCGAAGGTCAACTGTAATCCCAAAGAAATTATTGAATTAAAGCTTTACACGCTTTATGATGGTAAGCAAGAAAAAACAGAGGCGGTTGAATGTTTAAAAAGCCATTGAAAATAATATTTGACAGTTGTAACAATATAGGAAAATATTTATCCCTAAGGAATGAAAAAAGAGCTCTCTGTGAACCAATATGATCCCAATTACATAATGAAAAAGAAAAATGCATGTGCACACACAGATACAACACTGGGAAATCATATGTCAACATGTTGTTTTGACAGTGGTATTGTGGGAAATTTTGTACCTTTATCTGGTCTCCGCTTTCTAAATTTTCCACAGAAAGCACATGGTGAGGCGGCATGGCACTGAGAAGCACCTGTGCTTTGGAGTCACACTGAGCTGGAGCCAGTCCCTAGCTCTGCCATGTACTGTAGAGTGATGTCTCAGAGCCTTTGTCTTCCCGTTAATTGGCTCAGAGGCCACTCATGAGAACTAAATGAGATGCACATCAAGTACCTACTGAGGTGGCTGACAGAGGACAGTCAACAAGTCTGATGTATTATTTCTATAGACACAAGGATTTTAAGTCTTCAGCTGAGGCTCATATCTGTAGTTACCAAGGTTCTTTGGGTAGAAAATAATGCTGGGATCCTATACTCCTTATCTACTAGATTTTTTTCCTATCTCCAGTTACATTAAGATTCACTAGTCCTGTCACTAGGGCTATGAACTCCTAGCCCTGTTTCAATTGAGTAACAGCATCAACTTCCTGAGAGATGCAAAAGAACTGGGCCCAAGCCATGATGACAATGATATGCTCGTTCCTTAACGCACGGTCTTTCGTTTGTGGGAGAGGGGAAGAGAGAGCCTATTCCCAATGGAAAAATAGGAGGCTGCATGTAAACTGTGACTAAGCATCTATAAGATTACATCAAGTCCTCAGTTAACATCATCCGTAGGTTCTTGGAACTGGGGCAAAGCGACATAATGAAACCACTTTTACCATGAGTGATACAAACAAGAGTTAAGTTCCTACAGCATCTCATCAATGTTATAATAAAATGACGTTAAACAAAACATTATTCAAGGACCTACTGTATCTCAAAACTCCCACTTCTCCCAGGGGGCCTCTCAGGGTAAGATCCCTTCCTTGAGATTACTATCCTCTCAGCAATACTATATGTTGGTTTCTATTCACACCATATGACAGTCTATTCTTTGCAGTTTTTCTAATTCTTTCTTATTCACCTCCTCTACCTGTATTGTATTTAGTATGATTCATCAATAAAACAAACACATCATGAAGTATTTAAGTGCTTGCTCTGCTAAATGCCATGGGGGATCAAAGAAAAAGCTGTGTGTAACAGAAAAAGCCTTGGATCAGACAACGTAGTCCTTGGTTCTTTTTAGTTCTAATTCTACCTCATTTGGCCAAACTATTATCCTCTCTAGGCCTCAGTTTCCTTATCTGTAAATTGAGGAGAATAACAGTAATGTACCTAGCTCCTAGGGTTGCTAAAAGGATTAAATGAAACATTTGCCCTACTTATAAACCTCAATCTAGTCATCATGACACCGTAGCACTAAATGGAAAAATATTAATAAGGCTCGGCTGAAAGCAAATAGCATATAAGTGAGCTTTACTGTATTGTCCTTAAGAAGATTACAACCCAGTTAGGGAAACAGCGATAAAGGAAAAAAGAGGTTAGTGATAACCAAGATAATATAAAAAGCAAAAGGAAAACATGTTGCTGGAGTACTCACTATGGGCCAAGTTCTTTCTAAGTGATCTCTAAAAGAACAGCAACCCTGTGAAATCATTTAGTATCTCCCATAGCCCAGGTTAGACCATTAGTAAGGGTTAGAGCAAGATTTAATACGAAGAGACAGAACTCAGACTCTTCTCTACTTCTACATTCTGAGACCTGCTCAAAAATCAGTCTTTTCTGGATAAGGCCAACTTCATGGAGCAAAAGAATCCAGAGTATTGTTCAAAGGGAAGCACCATAAATAACAACTGTTGACTGAGCTCCAAAGGCTTCTTCCTATATGGTAGGAATAGCTGGGCAGCCAGATTTAATAACCATCACCAGTTAGGTGCATGCTATTACTAATCCCACCTTCACAGGGAGAAAGTGAAACGTAGAGAGGGGTCATGACTTGTCAGAGGTTGCTAGGCTCCTGAATTTGAACTCAGCTCTAACTCCTAAGCAATATTTATCTGGAAGTGAAAAACACAAGACTCAGACTTCCTCACTCACAGACCAGTGAAGAAAAGCTGAGAATGCAAGGCTGCGCGTGGGGCTAAATGAGAGGTAAATTAAAAACAAGCTTTTCTTTAACGACATCATTAAAACCAGCTGCCTCTATTGACAGCTGGGTGTCAGGCACAGTACTAAAACTTGCACTATACAACACTCTCTGTGAAACGAGCTAATTACTCCATTTTACAGAGGAGAAAACTGAGGCTCAGGGAGGTGAAGGAACTCACCCAAGGTCACACAGCGAGAAAATAGGATTCGGAACTCTGGTTTTCGTTAATTCCTAAGACCTGGCGTCTTTCCTCGGCATCAACATCACAATAAATCTTTTCTACCTAGCGTTAGTCTCTTTTTAAAAGCCCAGAGATGAAAAGAGATGGAAAAGACTACGGAGAGACGCTCCCTGAAGCGCGAAAGCCAGTTGCTAGCACCTGCCCCTCCAACCAGTTGGGGCAGGGACCCGGCCCCAGGGCCACCTCCCCTAAAGCCTAGGCACCACCACCCGGTGAAATCACGACCCTGTTCCCATTCGCTACCCGCAGGCCGTAGACCATTACCTGCTTGAAGCCCCCGCGCTCCAGGTCGGAGCCACAGCTATCGTTGCCTTAGCCCAATACCCCTGAGTTGTACCAGACCCGGGGCAGCAACCGAGGACCGACCGCCATCTTGCCCCGGGGCGTCGTTCTCAGAAGTCCGCCGGGAAGCAATTATCCAGTTCCGGCCAACGACAGTTCCGCAGAGCGTCTCTGCCCGAGAACGGCAACCACCCTGCATCTTGCCCTCCTCTCTGGATGCTGATATCTCAGAGTGTTCAGGACCGGGATAAATGCGTGACCCCCACCCCCCTCAAAGAGGAGATGCAACCCATTCCAGCCAGGCAGGGTGGAAGGAAGGCGGCCGATGTCTAGGAGTACAGCTAATTTTTTAGGAAGGCGCCCTCTGAGGGGCAGAAGTAGGGTACGGACAGCGGAAGTTCCCGCCCCGGCCCCGCCTCCGCCCCTGGCTCACGCGAGCTGGGTGTTTCCTGCCTCTTTCAGTCCGGGTTTGGAGACTCCGGAGTCCTCCGACTTTTCATGGTAAGGAGGGCGGTGCCCACTGACCCGTCTCTGGACGGCTGGGAGAGCGGGGCAGAGGCAGAATAGAAGGGAAGGGACAGACAGGAAGGTGTACAGTAGGGGTTGTCGCGATAGGGGAGAGTCTGTTGGGGGATTGGATGGGGGCGAAGCCGGGGGTGGGGAAAGGGCTTTGGGTGGAGAATTGGAGGGTCCCTAGCT